GAGAGGAAGTGATTGGTCCAGAGTTACTCATTGATTGTTCATGGCTATTAACCTGGGTCTCTCCAGGTGCTAAAACCATCCCATTTGGGGATATTTTGATCAAGTGTAGCAAAGTACACACTAGGCTTTTGAGATTTAGTACCATGGAGAGTACCCACAAAATCTTGAGTTAAGCAAGATACCAGATTCATTGAGATGCCTGAATATTAGTTTGTGACAGGATTGAACAACCTTTATTCACTCATGCATACAAGTGCACATACATTCACATGTGTCATCCCTCTTCTTCCCCTGTCTCTGTCTTAGAAGCTCATTTGAACTGGGAATTCATTTGCTTCTGGCCAGCTAATTCAGCTGATTAATTAACTAGTGGATAGGTCTTCCTGCATTTTCTTTTCAGCCTAAAGTCTGCTTCCTATCCCCTAATTATTTTCTACATAGTTTACATGAAGCCGTCCCTCCCTCTCTCAAGGGAGAATTTCTGGAAATTCAGAATGCTATGCAGATATGCACTAACGCTAGAATATGTTCTTCAGACACTGGGTTTCAGAGACATTATGAACTGCCAGCACTTTGGGAGAAGAGTTATTCAAGCTTGAAGAAAGGAATAGAGCTGCCTCCCTTGGACCAGGGATGGAGACCTAATTATCTGCTGGAGTTCCCTTCTATACAAGCCTTTATTGAGGTCATTGCTTTAGACATGGTCTCCTGGAGAGCTTCAAGGACCAATTATTTCTGCCTGAATAAGTTTTCCTTGGCTAAGGAGTGGGTGGTGGGTGGTCAGAAAGCTACATAAATTTTAAAGGGAAAATATCTCCGGTATCAAAGGTGTCTCCCCAGTGAAGATTGCTGATTTGGGACACTAAGATCCCCTTTCTGTAAAAGCATTGAGCTTAGCCATCTACTTCTTCTCCAGTGTATAGCATGATTAGTATAAAATAACTTAAGGTGCTGCCAGGAGCCCCTCCTAAATGTCTGTTAGCATCTGCCTTCCCTTTTTTTCCCCATTCCCAATGAAACCTGACTCCATGCAGGAAAAACCCAGGAGTAACAGAACAATTTGCAGGTTCCAAAATGACTTCCCCCCCCCTGCCCAACTTTCATTGTCACAGCTTTGCTGCATCCTCCAGGGTGTGATTGGGAATAAAAGAGCCTAAAGACAGAGCCTGGGGTGGAAAGGTTTCTCTCTTCAAGCAAGGAAAGCCTGCCTGCCCAAGTCTGTCCCACTGTGATGTTGCCTTGTCATAAATTAACCACACACACAATTAAAGAGCCTGTCTCAGCTCCAGGAGCTGTGGATGTATTTCATCCCAAGAGAGAGAGAAAGGCACTGTGGTATACAGCTATAAAGCATCTGAATGCGGAATCTAGGCTCTTAGCAGAGGGCCGGTGGCTATTTGTCAGCACAAGGCAAGGAAGAAGGGATTGAAAGGAGGCAGGGGTGTGGGGAGCAGTCAGGTATGAAGCTATGTTGGTGGGCAAGTGAGAGAAAGTGTATCTGCAGAGGAGGATGGCTTGGTGCAGGATATTAGGACTGTGGGGAACTGTGGATGCGTGTTTGAGAACCACAATGGTTCAAGTACTGGATTAGAATGTGGGAGATTACACGTTCTAGTCCTCCTTAAAGCATGGAGATTGGCTGAGAGACTTTGCCCAACCCGCCTCAGAAGGTTGCTGTGAGGAAAATAGGAGGCAGGAGGATCTTGAATAGTTCAAAAAAGGTGGATATGCATCCAATAATAAATAAATAATACCTTACGTGACGACTGTCACAGTTGTCACATAAGCTGTCCCTAGCATATGAGTCACATTCCCATCGAATATTTCCAGTGGTAACTAGTGGCTGAGAGGATATTATTTTATTTTGATTTTTTGCATCCTGTGGGAGACACAGAAGAGCAATCAGTTACAATTAACACCAGGCAGAGAAGGTGGGAACATCTTCCATGTGTGAATCATAACTTGAAATTCCCTGATGACAAATCGTGGGATTTGGGGAATTGGGAATCTCTTTCAAATGATTCATGTTGTCATGGATTTTGAGTTCTGTGTCCACAAGAGCGAACAGGCGATTCAACGGGGTTGCCTTTTTGTTGATGTCTTCCTTGTGGCATCCCCATCAACCTCTGGTTCTCCCAAGAATGTTGAATAAAATAGATACAGTACTTGGCCCAATAGGACTCAACTCCCACCTCCCTATACTGATCATTCCTTTCTAGCTGCCAAATTGGATCTCCTGTTATAGATGGAGTAATTTTCTACAGACTTGATCTTTATTTATTGTCAAATGTTCAAGATGAACCAAGTTGCATTTTGTCAGTACTTGGAATATAGAATCCCCTACTAGAACTCTTGTCCATGTGTATATGAATAGTCCTCGCTCTGTACAGAGCATTTCTCTCTCAACGCTAGGTCCATTAACAAGTACAGTGTAAGATTTAGGGCTAGCCAAAGGATTTATAGTCCAATAATTTCATTCAAAAATTTATTTAAGGAATATTTGAGCAGAGCATAAATTTAGGCATATTAAAATAGTAGATGAGGGTTAATTTGTAACAAAAATTTGAAAAATAGTCTAGGTCAAGGAAAATTTATTAGGAATTTTTTGAATTCTTCTGAACTAGACTTTTTTTTTTTCTCTCTGAAAGTGTTTTGGTTAGTTCACTCCCTCTTGAAAGAAAATCCAGGACATTGCAGTTTAGTATTTTCTATGTTGGCATGCCATGATTTTTTCCCCACATATAATTTATGAAGGGTGAGTGAACCTCCGTGAGTTACAACAGCAGCCTGCCCTATGGGAACAAGTAAAATGCTATTCAGTTTTGTTTTTTTTTAAGGGAAGGGGGTGTCCTGTGTCCTTATAGAGTGGCTCATTTCGCAAAACCTTACAGGGAGTTCTCGACTTACAACAGTTCATTTAATGACCGTTCAAAGTTACAACGGCACTGAAGAAAGTGACATGGTGATTTTTTTCACACTTACGACTGTTAACAGCATCCCCATGGTCACGTAATCAAAATTCAAACGCTTGGCAACTGACTCGTATTTATGACGGTTGCAATGTCCTGGGGTCATGTGATCACTTTTTGTGACCTGACAAGCAGAGTCAATGGGAGGAGCCAGATTAACTTAACAACTCTGTTACTAATTTAACAACTGCAGTGATTCACTTAACAAGTATGGCAAGAAAGATTGTAAAATGGGGAAGAATTCACTTAACAACTGTCTCATTTAGCAAGAGAAAAGTTGGGCTCAATTGTGGTTGTAAGCTGAGGACCACCTGTATTTTTCTTTCTGTGGGATACATGTCAGAAAAAAACAAAACAATGATGAATAGCCAGTTAGTAATGATAAATAGCCTTGTTTAACGGTCTCAGCATCAGTTTTTGTTCCCATAGGGTAGAGGGTGGTTTAAATGATTTCTTTGCTCAAAACCAGTAATTAAAGCCTCTGGAACACCGGAACAATTAAGAGAGGCTGTTCAAGGGTCAATAAATTGGCTATATATAAATGGGGTAGTCATAAGTGAGAAGAAACAATTTAATGGTAAGGATTTGTAAATTGGACAAAACAAAATCATGAATGTTCAGAAAGACCACTATGAATGGGATTTAATTCTGAATAAACATTATAGAAAAATCTAAACCGTGAAAGAATATGTTGTGGATAATATAGTGTTACATTCAGTGCTGTGTGGAACTTTGATTTTAATTCCACTTCCAGAAAACTTTCATTGAAATTAACACATTTTTGAGGCAGTATCTAGGAAACTAAATTGTTATCATTTGGCAAATGCCATGTTCTTCTCTGGTTCCTTCCCTTTTTTAAAACACGAAGATAGGCCAGTTTTAGGTGTTGATAATGCTACCGCATATCAATGATTCCGAATAAATAATTTTATGTATCCTTATAACAGAATAGGACATGTAGGTTCAATTTTTTGCTGGAAGGCAGGAAAGGCAAAATAGCTGGAATAATAAAAACCCCTGCAATATCTCATCTTAAATCAATACTTAGGTGACTGCCCCATGTATGTTTTGGAAGGAAGGACATTTCCACCTCCATTTGAAAGTATAATCTTTGGATTTAGTAGGCCTAACATTTAGAAATATGGCTGACCTTTGATCAAGATAATTGTTTATGTTAATACACAGAAACACATACTGTATCTTACAAAGATCTTGCTGCTTTTTTGGCCCCTTTGCTTTCCTTTCAGCCGGAATAAGCGTGAACTGGGGACTCTCCTCCTGTCCTAAAGGCAATTTTTCCAATCTCCATTTTTTCACTCAGCATACATTTACTTTCTCCCATCTCTAAAAGACAAATATTCATGGACAAATTGATACTCTACTTAAGTCCAAATTGATACTCTACTTAAGTCCAGGTGATGTTCCTGCAGTTCAGATGTACAAACATAACCGTTGGTAGCTGTTGCAATTTGCCATACCAATATTTTTTTTTAAAATAGCTAATTGCTTTTTGGAATATACATGAAAAAGAATGCTATAAAAGAAATACACTTTTGATCTTCCATGAAGTTGCTGGGCAGGTTATCTAGAGCAGGTTTTTATTTGCTCTACACATAATTTTATCTTTTCCTTGTAATTCCAACTTGCCTTCAGTGAGATGCTTTTTATGTCTCTAATTCTCCCAGAAGAGAATGAGAGTCTAATCAAATCCATTGAAAACTAGAATAACGACGGGCACATCTACCCTGAAGATTTTATCGTCCCGTGTTTTCACTCGGCTCCTATAAAATGATGTCCAGCAATTCTATGGCAGATAAAACGTGTCTGTGTTGATAGCCTTCTTTCTTGCCTTCGTGTAGGAAGCAATTACTGTTTTAGCCAATACTTAACTGCCTTGTGTTATGGGAAGATTAACTGGAATTCACCTGAGCTGACAGAGAGCGAGGAGCTGATGAAGGTTCGAGCTCAGAGCCTGGCTTGAGATTGTCAGCCATGAATAAGGAGTGTTCTCTTCTTGTCCCATCTCTGCAGGGCAGTCAGGACGCCACGGCTCCGCCTGACGCAATGGCTCAGCCCTATCCCCCGGCAACATACCCACCGCCCCCACAGAATGGCATCCCTCCAGAGTATGTTCCTCCACCACCACACCCGCACCCAGCACAGGACTATTCGGGGCAGAGCACAGTACCCGAGCATGCCTTGACGCTCTACACCCCAGCACAGAGCCACTCCGAACAGCCGGGCACTGATGCCAGCACGCAGTCCATAGCAGGCACACAAACAGTACCGGTAAGAGACTATTCCCTGCAGGGCCTGACTTTGCTGTTGAGCCTGCCTGCATTGCGGGGGGGTTGGTAGCATAAGGCAGTTCAGGGAAGTAGGCATCCAACGAAGAAGGGGAAAAGGGTGTCTCTCCTCCCAGAAAAATGCAAAATGGAAAGATGGAACTGGAGGTGTGTGTGTGTGTATAAAATTGGATGAGAAGAAATTTCTGTTGGAAAAATAGACCCATTGGCTCATGATTGAGAGGCTGCATTATGGGTAGCAGGGAAGGTCGAGATGGCAGATCCAAGGCCCTCTCTGTCTCCATTCCTACTTTGTCTGCATGGCCTTGTTCCATCTGAGGCCCAGAGATAGCAAAGGGTCAAAAGAGAGCAGGGTGAAAATAACAAGAGTTCTTATGCAGCGGGAGGCCAGTTGCAGGAGAAGCCATTCCAGCACCCTGCTACCCCCTTGGGCATTTGTGGCTCAGCACTTAAGTTTCCTGGCTCCCTTTGTGTCCCTAATCACTTGTAATCTACCTGCTTGGCCTCTTGCCAACCCTATCATGCCCGTGATGTGGTTGTAATGCAGCTCAGCGAAGAAGAAGCGCTGAGTGAGCAGTCCCCAGCTGCCCCTGAGTGCCAGGCTGGCTGCTCGCCACCACGCAGCTCTGAGAGTGAGCTCGGCCTCCCCACCCAGTTCTGCGTGTGCAGGAATGCATGCAAAACCCAGGATGGAGCCAAACGCATCTCCAGCCTCCTTTCACCAGAGCTGTGCATTAGGGCCCACGCTAGTTCGTATTCCACTTTCTCAGGTGCTACTGCTGTCCCAGGTAGAGGAATAAGACAAGGGCCCCTGTTTTTTTGTTTATATATATATATAAATGGGGAAGGTGAAGCTGAAGGATGGTGGCTGGTCCAAGACCAAATTAAAGAATTGAACAGGGGACTTCTGGTTTCACAGCTCATGTTCTTAGTAGTCCCTAAGTGACAGCATATGCCACCGCTCCCTGACTGGCTTCTCACATTGCACTAAACCAAGGGTCTTCAAACTTGACAGCTTTAAGACTTGTGGACTTCAACTCCCAGAATTCCTGAGCTAACATGACTGGAGGAGGAATTCTGGGAGTTGAAGTCCACAAGTCTTAAAGCTGTCAAGTTTGAAGACCCCTGCACTAAACCCTAATGTGATTTGTTTGTGTTTGGCTCGCTGTATTTTGCTCACCTAGTTATCGTGCTTCTAAGTCATGGTTTATGGCTTGAGCGTCGGGTAAACCCAGCTCTCCATTTTGTTTTTTTAATCAGCAAGCCATAGCTAAACAAACCCTGCGGTAGCACACTGTGTGAGCCTAGTCTCGGGGCGACCTTAAAAGTTGGCAGTCAAGTAGCATCACTTTCATAGGAATGCATATTCCCAAATGCTTCTCGGGATCATGGGGACCCTGTAGCGTGAAGGCCCCAAGCTTCGGCCTTATCTTAGGCAGGGGAAGGGAAGGGAACAGGAAAATGGGGTACAAGAGGGAGAAAATAACGTTGGGGAGAGCTAAAATGAAAGAGCCCCCTTGAAGCAATGAGTTCAGACCCCCTTGAAGCAATGAGTTCAGAATTGGGGGCGTAAGAAGCAAAACCAAAGAACGGAAGTGGAAGGAGCCCTCTGAAAGTAGATCACCTCAGAGCTGTATCAAGAAGAACCTGCTTTCCAGGCAGAGAGGAAGTCTGGGCTGGTGGATTAAGAGTGGCTGGAGGGGGAATTGGGAAGAAAAGAGCAGCAATTTTTTTTTTAAAAAAAAGAATATTCTAAACAGAGAAATGGCTTCAGCCCCAAGCACTGCAGAATAAGACTTGCAAAAAATGAAGTTAATATGCCTGCAGGCTGAAAACCTAATTGCCCCAAATCCAAACCGGCATTTTTGCTGGATTCAATTTCATACCTTTGAAATCTGCCTTTTGCAAGCGGCAATGATGCCCTGCCCCACCCTACCACCCCACACACGCACGCATATACCCACAGGCACCTGGAAAGAACCACAATGGTGCTTTCATTTCTTTATTTTCACCAGCAGACAGATGAAGCAGCGCAGACGGACAACCAGACACTACACCTACCAGAGAATGGTTCTGACAAGCAGCAGCCTAAGCGGCTACACGTTTCCAACATCCCTTTCCGCTTCCGGGACCCTGATCTGCGGCAAATGTTTGGGGTAAGTCTGTCACTTTCCCGTGCTAAATAAACATAGAAATGTACAATGACCTATGATCTTCTTGGAAAGGAACTGGCTGTGTTCACTCCGTCTTCCACATTATAATTGAGTCGGGGGGAGGGTTTGTTTCATGGGATATGTGAACCTGGCATTGTGGTTAGTAAAACATAGTTTACGGTTGAATGTTGCGTGTGTGTCACTAGGCCTGACTTAGCAAACAATGGTTAAAGCAGAGCATTATTTGGCACCATTTATAAATTTAGCAAATCAGTCCAAGATAGTGAATATCAATCAAGATAACAATGTTGGGTCCAAATGTTGTCAAATCTACTTCCTATCTTTATATGGCTTCCACATACTCTTGTTATATCTTTTAATTATCCATGTATCTAAAGTATCTGCGTCTTGCTTTCATTCCTCTTTGCCAGGAACTCCTATCTGTTCCCTCTGACCCCCCACAGAGCTTTGCAGGTCTTGTGGTAGTCAGGGTTCAAGCAGGATTAAACTTGTTTCTCAATCTAAGCGTGTCTAGAATATGTCGTTCAAAGGCTGAGTGTCGCGTAATGCAGAAAGCACCTCCTGTACTTCCAGGGGTGAGCCAGTGGAAACAAAGCGGCATCTGCCTAAATATGACGGTAGAGCCCAGAAGTGCTTTCTGTGTATGTGTAAAATATTGGTAGTCCTCACTTACCAAATTTACAACAGCAAATTTGAAAAAAGTAGGTTCACGACTGATCTTCGAAATGGTGGCGGTTGCAGCATCCCCATAATTATGGGGCCGTAATTGGACACCTCACAACCGGCACACATTTACGACAATCGCAGTGGTGTTCCACATTATGTGATTGTTGCCACTTGCAGCCTTCACAGCCAGCTTCCAACAAGCAAAGTCAGTGGGGAAGCCAGCGAGAAATGTCAAGTCACAATCACGTGACTTAAAAAGTGCTGCAGAACAGACGTAAGTTAGGTACAGTCACGTGACATTTCAATTAATAGCCACGTTGCTTAGAAATGTTGTTGCCGACCCCAATTGTGGCCAATACGGGTAGTCCTCGACTTACAACAGTTTATTTAGTGACGGTTCAAAGTTGCAATGGCTTTGAAAAATGTGACTTATGACCGTTTTTCAGTTGCAACCTTTGCAACAGCTCCATGATCGTGTCAGATCCTTGGCAACTGGTTCATATTTATGACCGTTGTTGTGTCCCTAAGATCATGTGATCCCCTTTTGCAACCTTCTCACAAGCAAAGTCACTTAACAGCCGGGTTACTAACTTATCGACTGCAGTGATTCACATAGCGCCTGGGATAACAAAGGTTGTAAAATGGGGCAAAATTCACTTAACACATGTCTCACTTAACAAGAGAACATTTTGGGCTCAATTGTCATCGTAAGTCGAGGACTACCTGTAAACGAGAACTACCTGTATTGGATACTGAAAGATGTTCGAGAGATGTCTGCACCCCATGGCTTTTTGGGAACCAAAGCAGAAGGGTTATTCCAAACCGGGATGGGAAGAAATGATGTCTCTGCTCCCATTTTCACCTTTCCTTCTTCCCCCCACTTCCCCTGCCCCTCTTTTTCTCCCCCCAGCAATTTGGAAAGATCCTGGATGTTGAGATCATTTTCAATGAGCGTGGTTCCAAGGTGGGTTCAACATGTTGGTGTCTGATAACAAGCCAAATGTCCCTGTAGATGGGTGTTTCCAGGGGCCAGTCTGTCTCCTCCATTCTGCCTTTGCCACTTCCTTTCTCTGCCACAGGGTGCCTCCTGATTTCTAACTACTCTTTCCCTCACCCATCCCTTCAGGCCCGGGGACTTTAGGTGTAAGAAGGACATGTTGATATTTTAACTTTCCCTCTGAAAACAACTGTGCTGGTTGAAAAATAATTAACCAAAGCAATTCCAGATCCGGAGTCCTAGAGAAAAAAAGGAAAAACTGTCAGCCACAAACCCTTGGTCACTAAAAGTAATTTAATGCAGAAAAAGATCACCCTCTCATGGTGAGATTAGAAATTGCTCTAATCAGAGAGAGAGAGAGAGAGAGAGAGAGAGAGAGAGAGAGAGAGAGAGAGAGAGAAATAACGCAACATGCTACTTAAGGCAACACGATATTAAGGTTTGGAGGAAACGTGGATATTTCTTCTTCCTCATAATACACTATTGAATTTTGGTTCCAGGTGGTAATTCGGGTATTTTAAGTTTGAAAGAAACTTGGGAAATCCTTTCAGTGCTTAAGCTCCTGCTGTTCCGTTGTTGACTGTAGGAGCTAAACTGTACCAAAGCTGAGCAGGTGCCACACGATGGTTGAGCCACTCTGGAGGGGGGCAGAAGTGGAGGCTCAACCATCCCCGTGGCCTCTTCACACACAGGAGGACCACTGTTTCTCTCTAGCCTGAGTGATATAACTGTAAAGCCAGGGGAAGTCAGGGGAAACAGTCCTACACATTTGTAGTCCTTTTGGGTCGTATTGCCCTAATGGAGCGGTGATGCAGATCTTGTCCTGTCCTCTCATCCCTCTCAGTCCTTATCCTCCCTTGTCCTCGCTCCTTCCCTGACCCCACCCCCTCGCCCGGTCTATAGGGTGGCTTGGGAAGCTCACATCCTGCCTCTTTTCTCTGCTGCTCCTTACTCACCCCTTCTCTCTGTCCTGTTCCTCCCACCCCCCCTTTTTTCTTTCTTCATCCTTTTCTCCTTTTCCTGTCTCTCTCCCTCCCCGACCTCTCTCTCTCTCTCTTTTTTTTTCTTTCCTTTTTCCTTTCTCTCCCTCACTCACAGGGTTTTGGGTTTGTAACTTTTGAAACTAGTGCAGATGCCGATCGGGCACGGGAGAAGCTGAACGGCACCATCGTGGAGGGACGCAAAATTGAGGTGCGAACAAATGCACTGCCTGCTCTGCCTCGGGCATTAGGCCTCACACTTGCAACTGCATCACAAACCTTTAAATATGTATATATTTAAATATGTATGTATATATATAAATATATAAATAAATAACTGTCTCTGGGATTAGCCAGGACAAGCAGGCGGGCGAGTGAATGTTGCATGTCCTGTGCTTTTGATTGTAGATTGGTTGGTAGGGGAGGATGCAGAAGGGAAGGAAGGCAGAACATCTCCACCAAGAATCTGTTACACACAGTTGTTTCAGACAATATTAAGGGAAGGAAGAGAAGTATAATGTCCCCAAGCCTTCCAAAAAACTTCCGGAAAATCTGCCTAAATCACCCTGTGCAATTGTCACCTGGCAGAGATTCTTGCTCTTCGCCTTCCAAAGAGGAAGCACAGAGCAATTTCAGAATGGACCGTGTAAAAGTTGAAAAAAAAAAAAAACCCTTCTGTGAATGTAGTTCTTGGTAGCTATTGAGCCCTTTGTTCACTCTGGAGCACTGAAGAGGATCCCTGGATCTCTGCTTCCTCAGAGTTGCGAGGTAGAGAGATGGTGCTGCATTGTTGCCCCTGACATCCTCTTCTGCTGGAACTCCCACCCTTTTCTTCTACTGGTTTAATTCCTTAGGTCTCCTCTTGCCTGCATTGATAAGCCTGTCCAGTTAATGGTATTTCTAGTATGCATGAAAACTGCCTGTGCAGGGCCCTGCATGCTAGCTGTGAACATGACCCTGGGAAGGGAGAGTTTCAGGAGTGGTCGCTCGCAACAAGCCCCCCCGTGGTTCTAATGTTGCACTCCTGTTTGTGGCCAATACCCTAGGAAGGAGCTGTAAGATTTGGACTTGGAAGGCTAATATCCAAGAGGTCGAGAATTGTAGCATGGCAAGCAAAATTGCCTATTTTGCTTAGGATAGTTAGCCCATAAACGATGGAGGATCTGACAGAAACCTTCATCAGCCTTTTGAATGCTGCTGTTCTTCTTGAGGTCCAGGGAAAAGGAATTCCATTTGGACCCCAAAGTCTTAACCAGTAACCTGGTGGTTGTTTCTCAACAGGTCAACAATGCCACCGCACGGGTCATGACAAACAAAAAGGCAGCTAATCCCTACACAAATGGTAATGGAACAAGGAAGGGGTGGGGTGAAATGAGGTCAAAGCCAGGCATTCCTGGGAAGGGGGCAGACTTGTTTCCCACCAGGCCACCCTATAGATTGGGGATGGGGAGGTGTTCTGACTTTGGGGCAGGGATGGGGAGGGGGAGGTTGTCTCAAAAAAAAAAATGCAAAGCATGGATTTGGGTTGTATCTCTGTTCTGGAAACAGAGATGGCAAGAGGAGCACCCAGCCTATTAAAGCAAGCGCTCCAGATTTCCCTCTCCGAGGACGATGCCTAATGAGCCAAGCACCCCCTCCAGCCCAGTTCTTGGAATGCCCTTACCTCCCCTGTTAGGGACTGTTTAGGAGGACTGGGAGGAGCCATGCTTTCTGACTGCTTACTTCTTTGTTGCCAGGCTGGAAGCTGAACCCTGTAGTGGGCGCCGTCTATGGCCCTGAATTTTATGCAGGTAATGTCTGAATCAGGCCAGATCCATGGGCAAGCGTTTCTCTCTTAGGGATCTGGCAGGACTACTGAATCTCGTGGCAGAATCTAGCTCTTGCTTATTCCTAGGATGCCACAGGCTATTGCTTGCCAAGAAGAAAGCAAGAAGTCGAAAAGCCGGGGGAGAGAGGGGAGGATTGAGGGGGAAATGGGGTTGCTGGGTCTGGGAAACATTAGGTTCAAATTTCTGCTTGGCCATGGAGCTTTCTGGCTAATTTTAGGCAAATCACTATCTTAAGACCTCACTCTAGGACTGGTAGACTATTAACCAGAATCTATAGGTTTATTATTTAGTAATGGCAAGGATTTTTGACTTCCCATTGTAAATTAGGGTTCTAGACTGGCCAAATTATAACAGTTCAGATCCAGATTTAGGCTAGTATAAACACGCCATAAAACATATCACTGAATGTATTCAGTGCATCTCACAATATTCTTGGCACAGTTAATATGCTTTTGCACAACCTATTCAACACAGCTAAATGGGCCTATGGAATTTATAGCTCAGGGTGCTGTACTCTTTCTCTTAATATATTGTATGAACCCAGCCATCACATAAAACCATAATCTCATTGTTTGCTTGTGCCTTAGCAAATAAGTAGAGGAATCCTGTGTTGTTAGCCTAGGTTTAGGGTTTAATGTGGTAAATGAATCCTGATGGAATTGGGAGGGGTCTGAGACATCGTTTAGCCCTCACCCCGGCCATCTTGCGCTCTGTTTAGCAGGTGGCTCTGTTTGTAGATCTTATAGTCCTTGCAAACAGTTCATTCCTCTGTCTGTATGTCACATAACCAGCTTCAGACACTGGTTTGGATAAAGTGGAGAGAGAAAACTATGTGTGCATCTGGATTTTATTCGTGAAAAAGAGAACAACTGTGATTAGAACTGAGACGTAGTCATAGTCTGAAGTTCTAATGCATAATTCTTGATAGAATTATGACAGAGGGTAAAAGTCTTGAAGGCAAATATTTGGAAAAGGTACAGAAATACAGAATATAGAATAAAAGAGTTGAAAAGGACTTTTGTCCAACCCTCTGCTCAAACAAAAGAACCTATATCATTCCAGACAAATGGCTTCCAATCTCTTAAAAACCTTCAGCGTTGGAGCACCACAATTTCTGAAGGCAAGCCATTCCATTGATTAGTTGTTCTCTTTGTCAAGAAATTTCTCTTTAGTTCTAGGTTGGATCTCTCCTTGATAGTTTTCCATGTGTAACTTCTTGCCTTGCCTTCAGATGCTTTGGAAAATAAGCCCCCCCCCCTTCTTTGTAACAATTCCTCGAATATTATAGGAAGGAATATTGAATTGATGGGTTAGATTCATAGGTTAGATGCGAGGAACATGTCTGAGCAAGGAGATAAGAAAAGCTCATCCCTTATCCTTGGAAGGGGTAGGGGGAAAATGGAGAACAGAGTTTAGAATTTGGAGCTATTCAAGGCTCATGGTTATTTCTTCCCCTCCTCCAGTGACCGGTTTTCCATATCCAGCCACAGGAACTGCAGTAGCGTACAGGGGGACACACTTAAGGGGCCGAGGACGCACAGTCTACAACACGTTCCGAGCAGCTCCCCCACCTCCACCCATCCCCGCTTACGGAGCGTGAGTATTGAGCAGAGAGGGTGCCTTATAAAAATGGGTGGTTCGGCACACTTCCGAAAGAGGCCAAAGTTAGACGTTCAATCTTCTCAAGACCCAGAGGATTCTTTCCCATGTGTCTCAGCTCTGGGCAGTGTGATCTATGGTTCATTATAAGCCATGTTAATTCTGAGGCATTCCTTCCTGAAGCTTCTCGGTTTGTGGTTCCAATGTGATTAAGACATAAGTCTCTGTTGTCCTAGATTTCTGGACACACGGTTGGAAAATTCAGAGTTATCCTTGGATTTCTCATTGGCCTCAATTTTCCTAGAGAGATTCCTACAGATCGTCCCTATTGTCTGGAAATTATGGCATTTCCGGAGGCCACCATTTTGGTAAGATTAGGCAGAGAATCTGCCCTGGTGGCACTGTACATTTCAGTCAACCCATACAGCTGCAGAAGTCATGTTCCCAGTCATTCCACTTTTTCAACAGGAATTTTCTGTTTCCTTGGCCAGCATAAATTATGCAAGCCAATTAAGTACACGCTTTGCACAACATATTTATTTTCATGCTTCCTTCCGAAGCTGATCATCTTTACTTCTTGTGTTGTATAGGCTTCTTTTACTAGTTAGACAAACATGAGGGATACAGGAAGAAAAGCATCACTACATGATATGTGGAAGAGAATAGATAGCCATGTTGATCATCCTATAGCCTCTCACCATATGGATCGGAAACCTGATCCTTTTTAAAATGACGAAAATGAAGCAAAATCTGTCACAGAATGTATGCGGCTATTGTGCGGCTGTGTCCAGATTCCCCCAGGGACACCTTCGTGATCTTCCATGTTGACTGCCAGGCAGACAGCTCTATCTGTCTATTGCATGACACCTGCCTCTGCACCTCTCCTGCTGTCTAGGTAGAGAAAAGCAATGGATGGGCCCAAACCCCAGAGCCACAAAGGTTCGTCGGAAGCCTGCTCTAGTGTTCCCATCTGGAACACACGCCAGTCTTGCGGAGTGAGCTTTCAAAGATCCCTACCCAAAGTAACTCTTAGTAACGGCCACATTCTTCTTGCTTTTGCAGAGTGGTTTACCAGGACGGATTCTACGGTGCTGAAATTTATGTAAGTCCATCCTTTCAAAGTTTCCTTAGGAGATACTTTTTTTTTTTTTTTCATTTCCAGTCAGAGCATCCTCTGGTACTTAAGTTCCTGCAGAGACCTGGCAGACTTTGCTGGTAACCAGGCACACAGGCCCTTCCAGGAAGGCTGTTCTGTCAAAGAGAAATCCCCCCTGCTTGCTCTTTTCATTAAATGATGCAAACAGAAGCCAAGGCTGCCAAAACACAGTGGGGAAAACAACCCGAGGCCCAGAGCTCGGGAAGCAGCAGCAGTTGGGCAGCCTCTGAGCCTCCCCCATAAGCTATATGTACAGCTTTCCTCATCACTCTTCCAAGGCTCATCCTGGCGCTTTCCACAGCTGAGGGAGGTTAAGGGTGGAAAGGGAAGGCTTGGAATCACACTTTCCCGCTTGCCTGCCTGTGCGGCAGCTGCAAAGGGGAAGCAGGCTACCTGTGAGGGTGGGGCGTGGGGTCCATCCGCTCCTACGGAGGGCAGGATTTATTTTCTGGCCTGGTGTCAGCCTGCTGGGTTATACAGCAGCAGTTCCCTTCCATATTTAAAGTGCTCTGGGCAATACTTCAGGCACACGCTGACAGATTTATCAGAGGCGACATCTCGTTAACACCGGTCACCCGCTAGGGAGGTGACATTCTCTCCTCAGCATGTTTAATTTCTGCAGGTTAATGGTAGCAAGGCCCCCCAGGGAATGCTAATGAGAGAGGGAGAGGGGCTGGGCCTGTGGGTACATTATCTCCCTCCTAGCCAGCCCCTGAGATTCCCCCAAAAGATGTGCCCTTCTCCTGTGACACTGCAGTCGCACTGTCACCCCTAATGCTTGTCTCTCCCATCTCCTCCAGGGGGGCTATGCGGCCTACAGATACGCCCAGCCTGCGGCAGCGGCAGCAACAGCTTACAGCGACAGGTAAGCCGTCTTGCTCTTTTGGCGTCTGGTCCCCTTATCAGCCCCTCGCTTGGATGCAGGGATTCATAATGGCATCCCTGCATCGAGGAATTGTTACTGATGCACCTGGGCGTGGAGAAAAGGGGCATCATTGCTTTCCCTCAGAAATGTTTTCCAACCCCCATGGACTGGCTTGCCCGGGGTCAGGGGGAATATTGGAAGTCCTATTGGCAGACCCTGAAAAAAGCAGCAAACGCTCAAGAGGGCTGCGAGCTGGTTTGTCCAGAGTGCAAAGAGTCTGCGGTCTGAGCAATGCCTCATCTCGTTCCCCTCTCCTGTTCTTCACAAGCAACCGTTGCCTCTCTTTCCCCCCTTTTTAAATACCTTTTCACTGAAATGTGTGCGCTTTCTGGTTTGCCAGTATACAGAGTTTCATGCTGATAAGATGAATGGCTATATTGAAGCGGCCCTGCATTTGGAGAGGTTACGTTGTTAAATGGAGTCTCTCAGAGGCAACAAGACAACTCAATTAATCCTTTGTGCTTATCTTCCTTTTCTAAACACAATTATTACGAAAGTGGGGGAGGGGTAGGAAACATGGAAGGGGCGTTTCGTTTGGACTGTTCATTCAGCCAAGCGCTTTTCCCATGCGGCTTCACAAAATAGGGGCTTAGAGCAGAGTGGCCACACTTTCTGGGAGAAGTCGCTTCACTGGGGTCCAACGAAATTCTGATCGTGCAGCAAAGACATTTCATTCCAAGCAAAGTTGCTTTTCCACACTCCGGGGCCTTTTCACTGCAGTTATCGAAGCCAAACCCATTCTGCGAATCAAGTAGCACTTCTTCACACAGCCCTAGTTCATACAGTGGTAGCTGCTGAAGCTTTATTTGGGAAGTGGGAGAGACTATTTTCTTAATCAGGTATTTATTGACGTGCAATATTCTTATCGCCCTACTCCCTTTACATGTTTTAGCATCCTATTAAAAATACAACTGTCATTTAATTAGGTTAGCGGTAGATTATTATTCTGCTGTTAATGAAAAGCAGGTTAAAGATGCACAACAAAGTAATAACGGAGTAAATAAATATGAAGGAGGTGAAAATATTATGAGAAACAATACGTTATAAGAGGCTTAATATAAGAAATATTGGGATAAAGCTGCGGAGGAGTGATCCACAGCAAGAAATATTACTAGCAGAGCAGTGCATTTTTATCAGTGGAACACATTTATTTCTGCTCGGAAACCTTTCCTAGAAAACATTTTTCATTCTCCTGATTTCTATATTTGTATTATCATGCTCAGTAAAGCAATGTGTGTGTTCATCTGTTCAGTTCCACTTAAAACGCACATATGTTGTGTTAATTCATAGGGAGGTATCATAAAAAGTGTGCCGTACCCTCATTGAGAAAGGAAGCTATAAACTAAGGGTTCTTCCACATGGCAGCTTTTAATTGCTTGCCTTCCATGTATAAACCTGCAGGAAACTAAACCTTTCCAGATTTCAAACTCCAGATTTCTTCCTTTTTGGCCATGATAATGGCCTGGTGCTCACTTCAGGCTGCATTTACCGTAGTCCCAGTTGGTGGGTTTTCCCACCCTCTTGACTACTTTCTTTCCATGGGGGATATTTCGGGATACTGGTTTCCATTGGAACGTTTTGAATATGAGCCCCTCCCTTGTCTTTGGACCAGTGGACAGGAAGAAAAGAGAAGCACCGCAGTTTTCTCATTCTTCTAGTCAGTTGGACTAGAAAAGAGTCACAACTCTTTTAGGCAAATTTCACCTAGTTAAACAAAAAGAGAAAGATCCTTGTTTCCCCTCCCATCAATTATTTTAAAAAAGAAAAAAGCTTAGCCTTTCACCATTCTACTAGTAAGCTTCCTTTTAAAAAAAAAAAATGGCAGTGTTTCATCAGATCTATTCCCCGGGGGCAGGGGGGGGGGAGTACAGCTTTTCTGGTCCAGACTTTCAGAAGGGGACAGCTCATCCAGCCACCCAGGGCAGAATGGTCAGGAGGGCAGCAATCCCAGGGATAACAGATAATCAGAGTTGGAAGGGACCTTGTAGGTCATCTAGTCCAACCCCCTGCCCAAGCGGGAGACCCTGTACCATTTCTGACAAATGGCAGTCCAATCTCTTCTTGAAAGTCTCAAGTGATGGCACTCCCACAACTTCCGAATCATTCCCCACCATCAGGCAGAGTTTCCCCTTAGAATAGAGACATTGGCCTACAGTGAAATGAAGCCCAACAATTGACCAACAAGTCAGTAAACACATTTAATGAATGCCTGGGGGTAGGTTAGGGGACAGAAAAGTGGCTTTCCTGATGGATTGAGGGTATTGTGTGTTTCTGCCCTTGCAAGATGGTTAGCGATTATACTTGCATTGGGACAAGCTCGTCTTGCCAGTCAAATTTAACATTCACATCTGACAAGAAACATGCATGTGGTCTTATATGGTGACACTCTCAGCAGAGCCCTTCCCATCTATAGCACTGCAGCCCTGTAAAGTAGGTCATTGTTCATACTCTGGTCCTGATGAATACCAACCTACTGTACACGACTGTACTGTACAGCAGGGGTCCCCAACCACCGGGCCCCGGACTGGTACCGGTCCGTGGAACATTTTCTACCGGGCCGCCGGTTTGCTGGGCGCCGCCATCTTGTTTTGATGAGAAAGTGTTTCCGGTGAGCTTTTCCGGTTGGAAAGCGGCATTTGGGTCCTGAAGGAATCCTCGCGCCTTAGTTTCATCGAAGGGGGGGGCTTCGAACAAAACTAAGGCGTGAGGATTCTTTCAGCACCCAAGGCAAGGCGAGCCGAGCGACCGTCCCGAAGCCGTCCCGATGCCCATTGACAAAGGTACAAAGGAGGAGTTGAAGGTGGCGGGGAGAAGCGGGGGACGGCTGGCTGGCCGGTTGCTCGGCTCGCCTTGCCATGCGTGCTGATGCCGGTACCGGGCCGCGGAACATTTTGTGATGCCGGTACCGGGCCGTGGCACAAAAAAGGTTGGGGGCCACTGCTGTACAGGGCTGTTTCAGGATTAAAAGGTTGATTCAAGCTTCCTTTCTGTGACACACTTCTTGATCTTAACCAAACTATCCAGAAGCAATGGCTTCTATGACATACACATAGTTTTCTTGGCAACAGTGTGGAAGCGGATTAATAGTGCCCAATTCCAGAATGCCTTTCTGATTTCTCAGTCTAACCTGGGAATTCATGGTGGTCTCCCATCCAGAGAATAACAAGTTCCAGTCTTGTTTGCCTTTTCAAAATCAGCCAGCACTGGCTAGATACTGCTGCCTTCTGAGGTTATTCACAGATAAGAAATCCTAAGGATTCTTCTGATAAAATCTTCTTAGGGTGTTAGTTTTTCTATATGTGTGTTAATTCCATTCTTTGCTTGACGTTGTTGGTCAAAGAATTTCTGAAATATCAGCTGTTTATTCATTTCTTATGTTTTCTTTCTCCCCCACATAAAATCCTCACATAATTTCTTACTTTTGGCTCATAAAATCCAATATTGACAAAAGGTCTGCTCCAACTTTATCCACAGCCAGGAAACAATTATTTACATTCTATGTGTACCTTACAAAACCAGTTCTAATCAGCAAGACCCAGAGACCCACTACTTCTCCTTTGATTGAAATAAATAGTGATCTGCGCCCTCATAAAATTGCAGGATGCACACAAAAGTTAAACAAGGATAATGTGGAGGAACTGCAGCTGGGATGACTTTACCCCACATCTTTTGGCTGCCAAATGGTTTTATTCCTTCCCTCCTGGGAAAACAAATACTTTTTTCCTGCTTCTGGGTTACACGCTTTCTCCCCTGCAAGTCAAACCTTCACAATCTCTGTTTGCACAACCGGAAAAGCAGTGCTAAGGCACAAAATGCACAGAACTGAAGGAGAAATCCAAATTTCCTTGCAGACCTCAAAGAGACAATCGTAAGGCTACACACAGTTGGGGGCCCTGTCCTACCAACTTTCCGCAACCCTCCAAAAAAGTCTTGGCCACCTCTGGTTTAGCTACAGTGATACCTGTACATTTGGGGACTTTAGTATCTCTCTAGGAAAAGACATAATGACCTGCTTGTTCATCTAGAAGCGGATCCTATAATTCTAGCCCTCTCCTTTTTGAGATGCTTGTAGTTTGAAATGATCTCTCTCTGAGGGGGGAATTGAAGCAATTTGTGACAGGTCGCTTTCCCCAAATGGCATCCCCCAAACAATGCTGGAATGGCAACCTCTGGCATTCCCAAGCAGCCTGGCTTTTAAGGCTGGAGTTGTCATCCTGGCACATTTGGTGGACACCCCAGGGGTGGGCTTCAAAAACTTCAGCAATGGGTCTTCTGCCTGGTTGGTGGGCATGGCCATTGTGGACATGGCCGAGTCAACCTTCTGTACCACGGCGGGAGGGGGGGCATTTTCACCTTCCCCAGGCTCCAGAGGTTTTCCTTGAGCCTCTGGGAGGGTGAAAATGGCCTCCCCTGGGCTCCGGAGGCTCTCCGGAGGCCAGAAATGGGGCCGTTTTTCACCCTCCCTGAGCCTCCATGTGGGCCTTGCACTTACCTCTCATCCAAAACGGGCCGCGTGGAGACTCCTGGGAGGGGAGGGGTGGCTTGGAAGGGGCCAGCCAGGGGTGGGATTTGGCGATTCTCCAGATGGCTATAACATTAGCTACGGGTTCTCCTGAACCCGGGCGAACCCGTAGCAGCCCACCCTGGGATACCCATTTGGGAAAAGTAACTCAGAGGTCTTTGCTAAAAGCTCAGTGTACATTTCTTGTCGTTTCTTCTGTGTTTATCATGACTTGAAGCAAAGTTAATAATGACTGGGGCCTGATTCATGGTTTTTTGAACACTTAGGGTTGGCAACTCAGCGATTCCTCAGTTTCTAACGCTGCCCCCTGTGTTCGCTCCTAGTTACGGCAGAGTTTATGCAGCTGCAGACCCTTACCACCACACTATTGGCCCTGCTGCCACCTACAGCATCGGCACCATGGTAAGAATGGGGCCTTCTATCCCATTGTGCATAGCCATCCAGACCCTGGGGGTGGGGGGGGTAAGGTGGGGAAATGTGGGCGGTCAGGGTTGGATACTTGGGAAAAGAGGAAGAAAGATTTGGGATGTCTCTGGGGACACTGACACTCGGGTCTCAGCTGCTGTCCTATTAATCAGCTCTCCAGGAAGCAGGAACCCTAAGCCGGAAGATTCTTAGAGAAGAAGCACACATCTGGGGCTGGGCCTAGCCCTGGCTGCCCTCATTGCCAGGGGTTGCACATAATTGAAAGGGTGGCTTCCTGAACAAGTGATGCCCTTCTTAAAAGCCACCTGAAGTGAGCAGCAGCTTGTACAGGTGTCAGGGACCCTCCCTTCAGAAGCAGTGCTTTAGGAAGTGGGTGGGAGCTGAGCAAGGTGTGTGTGCCCAGGGACCTCTCCCCCAAAGCCACCCTCTCCCCCCATCCTTCCTGTTCCTGAACACACTTCCACATCTGGTTCCTGCAGTGATGCCTCCTTGTTATCAGAGCTCTAGGCAGCATCAAAGAGGAGAAAGATTTCAAGCCATCCTACAATCCCCTTTGGCCATCAGGGCCTTCCTAGTGATACCACGAGAAATTCCACCAGCTCACAATTTTGCATTGAACCCTCAACCCTCAGAAGGCCGGGGTGGGTGGGGGGGTGGAATACTGAGAGGGAGGCATCTGTAAAGGGAGGCTGAGGCATGGTTTCGCAAGACCCTCGCTTCCTTTAAGGATTCATAGCAAAGTGTTAGGCCCCTGCCCCCAAAGCACCATTTTACTTTACTTTTTTAAATATGCCTATTGGCCTTATCTGTCTGGATGGGTTTCCTGTGAAGTCTGCCCCAAGGCAGCTTTGCATTCTGGGAGATTGAGTCCAACCCCCACCTCTCCCCCACTGCCCTTGGCCCTTGCTCCCATCTGCAGGTTCTCTGCCAGCCTCAGTGCCCACCCCCGTATTGGCTCCGAGGACAGGGCAGGGATGGGCTGTGCCTCTCCTTTATACTGATTGGCTTTTTCTCCGTCTTTGATGTTGCAGGCTAGTCTATACCGAGGAGGGTACAGCCGCTTCACTCCCTACTAGCAAGACAGACACAGACCCTCCTCACAGTAGTAACACTGACTACTCCTTAGAAATCCAACCAAAACCCCGTGGACATGGGCCCCTGTCCCCCGCTGCTGGCCCTCGGCAGCCTAAATCACCCATCTCTTTACCTCAAGCCACCTGCCATGCCTCTCCTCCCACTTGTCTCTGATGGTGTATTGGCCACGTTTGTGTCATTTTGCAAAGCAGTCAGCCAGGGAGCTGGGACAGGTGCCTGCTTTTAACACACAAACACATCCACACCCACCCCAACAAGATAACCTCAAGGAAACACACACACACCCCTTCCTTTAGAGCTACCCAGTGTCTGAGTTCTCCTGTTAGATCAAGTCCTGTTGAGAACCTTTGGGATACTATTGGAGGAGGCCCCTGTGAGGCCTCATGCGTCATTTCTGCTCTCACACATCTAAAGGAGAGGCTTTGGCCAAAGGAACTCAGGATATCGTCCCCCTCAGGTGCGGTGGCCCTTCTTCTCCCTCACACAAAGGCAGGGCAAAAGTGCCAGGCGGACAGCAGCCCAGGTCCTTCCCATAGGGGGAAAGATGGGCCAGCTCAGGCCCTGTGTCAACCAGAGGGCAAGGGGAGAAAAACATCCCCTCTTCCCATTGGAAAAACGAGTAAGGGATATATTGCTAGGCTGCCCTTGGTAGGGACTGGGAGTTATTCTGGAGAATGTGCCACGAATAGGAGACCTCACAGGTCCCCTCTGGGCCTAGCATGTAGGTCTCTGAGGGAGCTGGCTGGGTTTGGGCCCTGGGTGGGGCCGAGCAATCCCAGCTTCCTTCCACAATGCTGGCTACCAATTCCATGCAGGGCTTGGGTAACTTTTCTCATCACTGACTTGCTGAGCAAAATGGGCCCACAGCTGTGTACAAAAGGGACCTGCAAAGCTTAGAGATACTTGGGACCCCCACTTCCCAAATCTAACATTCTGGACCAGCACACACACACACACACAGAGAAAAGTGCTTCCCTGCCTTCTCCTCCTGCCCCGTTTCCCCCCACCCGCCCCCAGGACACAGCCTACAGGTTGCTCCATGGAACATTCTGCCTTTGTTTTCTGTTGTAGTGAAACCTTCAGCTGTTTCCTTCTGGGACCAGGAAGGGCACAAAACATTTTTTTTTAAAGCAAAGCAACAAACAATTACAAAACTAACAAGCCAAGCGACTGAGTGAAAGCCCCCTTCTGTCCACACATGCGCCCCAAGCGACAGGCCAGCCGGAGCGCAACTACCGACAGTCTGCCCGGACAGATGGACGGCAGGGCAGCCCCACGCAGACTCCACAATGCCGTCCGCATCAGGAGACCCGTGCCCTGCTCCTCCCCGCTGCAGACCAAGGGGCCAGGAGGGACAGGTACTGACACAGACTGGAATCTGCAGGCCCCAGGCCATCACGTCTTCCTTCCAGCCCTCCTGAAGACCTGCGGCCCTTCCAGACCGCAGAAGACGCCATGAGCGCCCGGCAGGGCTAGCCGTCCTGCTTCTTGCATCCCAGAAGTTCCCAGTGTTTTCGCGCTTTGCTGGTTCATCCGTTGGTCAAGTCGGCAAGCCTTGGATTCCTGTATGGTGTAGGGCCAGGCTGAGGGCTTCTGGGGTATGCCGGTGGATGGGCACCCCAGGGTTTCAAGGGGGGTTTTCTTTGAAGAAGTTGCACTTTCCTCTCCCCCTGAGGATCCCGGCTCCCATCGGCCCACAAGGCAGTGAGCTGCACCCCTGCAGCTGTCCTTGGGGGAAGCCTGGCTGAACTCAGAGCTGAGAAACGTCCGAGATCTCCAGGTCTCCCCCAGAACCTCCCACCCTGCTCCGGAGGGCCGAGAAATGCCTCCCCCCTCCATCACACTGAAGCCAGGGTGCTGGGCAAGCATTTCCTCAAGGACTGTGTGGCTGGCAAGGGAGAGCAGCGTAGCCCCCAGCTGGGGAGGGGGCCAGGCTGGGCACCAGGGCATTCGGAGAAAGAACCGTTTTGCTACACAAACCAAGTTGCGCCACCACCGCTGCTGTTGCCACCACCACCACCGCCCAGGGTTTCCTCCCTGCCCACAGCCCTTCATGGGAGGAGTGCATGTCCCATCACCCCACCCCACCCCACCCCAGAGCCAGATGGACTCAGGGCCTCCTCCCTGCTCCTGACCTCCCCTTGGCTTAGTCATCTCATGAAACCTCACTTTCTATTCAGCATTAAAGCTCCTGACATGCCAGCAACCAGATGATCCTCCTTTTCTATTCCCGTTGTATATAGCCCCACCTTTGCCACTCCTGCCCCCTTGTACAACCCCCCCCTCCCATTTGCTACCCACTCTCCCACCCTGGGAGCATCAGCTACCCACCCCATTCTATATGCTTCAAAAGTGTGACCATTCAAATAAACAGTATTTATTATTATTATTATTAATTATTATTATTTATTAATAAAGGTTTCTTTCTTCAATGAGGATGGCTCACGATTGTGATTGGGAGGTGGTTAAATGTGGGGAAGGGTGCAAACAGGAAGGAATTTGCAAAATACAGGCTGCTGTAGGAGGGTGTATGACAATTCATCACTGACAGCTCGCAAAGGACAACTTACTATGGCCAGTTCATCACGGGACAAGAGTTACACCAATAGCGAAGAAATAGTGGAATAGAATCATTAAAGAAAGGATGCCAAAGGAGGGACAAAATGAAATGTGAATGACAAAAATTAAAATAATGATTTATTTTAAATAATTCAATTGAATTGTTGAATTGTCCCATGGAGAGTTGGCCATGGCAAGTTAACTGTGGCAAGTTGTCCCATTCTGGCTCTAGGAAGAGGCAGGTGTATGTATGATAAAAATCCTAGACAAGAGAAATGCTTGCTTGCATTTGCTGAATGAGAAACATTCTCATTAGGCTTATACACTAGGGCCAGTGGTCTGGGAGCACACACACACACACACACATATATGCCACCACCACATCTCATGCTTCCTCTGTGTCTGCTGCCCATGTCCAAGATAAGTGGGGAAAGGCATTGGACAGCCCCAGACCCACTTGCCCTGCAAGCATCCTTCTGGGTCACAAGTACAGCTCCTTCAAAGGGATTACCCTTCATAGCAAGGACTTTGCATTGATCAGTTGGTTATATGTTGACTGAATTGTATAGTTCCCATAAATAGTATTTATTTCCTTCTACACCTTAAGACTCCCATCATTTCTGTCACCTTCCACATAAGTATCTGAAAGAATTGGGGTATGGGGTGAGCGGGGCAGTAAAGGCAAGATGGCAACCACAACTGCACAATTGAAACCCTGCTCTCTCTCGTGTGTGGTGTTTGACCTCACCCCCTGCCCTGCAGACACCCCCTGACCTCCAGCTGTAATTGTGTCTTCGTATGGAAATCATCTCAGTCTGAATCAATTCCTATCACTCTGGAAATGCCTGGAAGTTGCAAGTCATGCAAAATGGGGCTAAAAAACTAACTGGTGCAAGTTACAAATATCTTGTGTCCCCCCCTTGTATGGAGGCATCGGCAATAGTGATCTGTTACTGGCCCCAATTTCAGGAGCTGAGACTGATAGCTAAGGAAGCCGGTTCTTTCCTTGCCCATTAGTTCAGCTATGCAGATCTGCAGGAGAAACCCTTTTAAAGGGACATTTTTAGCTGCCTTGAATGCTTATCAGAGTAGAAAAAGCGGGTGTAAAAGAAATACTCAGATGGGGCCGTAGAAGCGGAGGATGAAAACTCTTAGCAGATTTCTGTATCAGAGTTCACTGCCCACCAGCTCCAGTCAGCATGATTAGTGGAGAGCTAAATGAGAATTGTACTTTAAAAATAAATACTCAGAACCCAAGTACACGGGGAAGGCTGTCATCCACGTCCACAGAACAGACCCAGTGGATTTGTACAAGAACTTCTCATCATAAATGCCGCCTCCATCAATTAATGAAGATGTGCCACTGGAGTGAGGGCAGGAAAGAGGGAACATTAGAGATTGCAAACGGCGTCTTTGCTGCCTGAAATAAGGACTACAGATGAGCAACATGGGTGCCTTGGTGCATAAAGTTAAACAAAAAAAAAGAGCAAAAATCCAAAAGCAAGAGAGGAAATGTCATGAATCCATCCCTATGCCAGGGCCGACATTTTTCAAAATGTCAATTTCTTGCTCTTGTTGCAGTCATGCCCATCTGACCAGCACCGGCAGCGTAAATGTCGCTGTATCAATTTCCTTTGCCTTGAGCCGTGGCCACATGTGGAGACAGGCCTGTGCAGCAAAGAGCCGAGATCCCCATGTGTGCTGTGCTTGGCCAAACTCCCAGCTGCTAATTGCCTGCATGCCAGACTGCGAAGGAATAATTGCTGCTATCAATTCTCTTGCCAGCGCTGCATCAGGAATTCAGAAAGGGGGTGTGGTGGTGGTTTTGCACAAAGCAGGACAAGAGGGACTCCCCACATACCCAGATCAGACCAGACCAGGAAGAGAAGCGGGAGATTGCATGGGCCGTTCTCTGGCCCTTCCGTAAGAGTTTAAAGGCAACGCCCCCTTCAAACTGAGCTCAACTCATGGACCCCGTCCCTGTAGTCTTCTTGGCAGCAACCCAGACATGGTTGGCCATGGTCTTCTCCCAGGTGCTCACCTGCCTACGGGGCAGAATGGGAAAATAAAAGTATTCCTATTACAGCAAACTGGGGAAGAAGTTAACAGCTGCCACCCTGGCGCTGTAAAAGAGTGTGGGAGCTTCCCATTCAACCTCCTTCTCATTCAGATCAGACATGGCTTCCTATAAATCTCATGGCCTAACCTGCAGCAGAGCCAAGCATGCAGCCAAAGCAAGCCACAACAAATCATTTCACCTGAGAGGTTTCTTCTGAAGCAAATAGTATTGTCAGCTCTTGCCAAAGAGGCCAAGGGACTGGAACAAAAATTGTACAACATTCTGGAAGTGCAATGACTAGGTTAACTTTAATTCTGAATGCTGCAGTGGCGCACAAGGCTCAGTGGCCCCTTTTCACCCTCAGTGCCTCAGCAGTGTAGCTGCTCCGTGTCACTTAGGAGAGAAGGGGCTTGATCATTAAGCAAAACTTTGAACTCTACTGCACTCTTTACAGTATTTTCTGTAAATCCAACCTCTAAAGTGCATAAAAATGCTGTTGGTATTTTTAGATTTTGCATTTTGTATGCTTTCCTAATAATTCCAGGGAAGGAAACACAATTATTTTTCGAGTATCTATGAAAGAGGATAAATTCAAGACAGAAATTTTACTGCAACATTATTAATAGCTGCGGCAACCGCAACAAATGCCACGGAAGCACAACGCAGTTAAGAATACAAAATTGAATAAGAATTTAAAAGTTAGCAAGTTTGCTTCCGCAGCAGCAAAGTGGAAATCCAGCATTTGACCTTAATGTTCAGGGAACCATAGGAATAATCCTGTTGAAGAAATAACAGGTCTCACAATGTACTTACTTAGCCTTTACACATTTAGAACTGTATTCAGTACTGAGCTGCAAATTGCCATGCGTCCCTTAGAGCAAATCCCTATTGATTGCAGTCCAGTATCGCCACAAACCAAGCAGATTCCATGGCAAAAGAATACTGCACTGTGCACCAACTGCAGAGGACATCCCCTCACTCCCAACCTACTTCCATATAATGCCCAGGGGTGTCTCTGCCATATTCCCTTCTCATTATTTGCAGGCAACAACACTGAAGCCAGAAAGAGTTGCTGGGAAGTGGTTTCTAAGGGGTTGAGAGGAAACACCACAAGTTTAAGGTTCCCTGGGTCAACTATGCAGAAATGCAGAATCCATGCTGGCTGGGGAATTCTGGAAATCTTAAATCTTAAAGTTACTGAGGATGAGCAACACTGTTCTGCAATATTAGTTATTTATTTAAAAAGTGAATTTTTCTCACAGAGTTGTGACCCTGGCCTCATCCCTAGACTTCTGAAAGTTATCACCCTCCTATTTCATTTGAGAATAAATCTCCCTGTTGATGAGAGCTAATGATTTTCCCCTCTATGTTCATTAAAGGGATCTGACGGGAAGCAGCAGACTTGACAACTGCCACCTGTTTCCATCTTAACAACACTGCTATTTGTATCAGTGCAGTGAATGGATGTTTATATTTTAAAAGCAAGGTCGATAGCCTATGCTGTCCATTAAGAAATCTGTTTTGATCGTTTATTCCCTGCCAAGTACAGAGGAACTGTGCACATCCAAATATCTTTGGCTTTTGAATGTCAATTCTGTGAGACAACAGGACCATGGCCTGAGCAAAGAAATAATAACTCGGATGAAAGCAACCAAGAGGCTTTATTAAAAGGGTGTCCCCTTATATACCTCTTAGATCAGGGGTCCCCAAACTTGGCAACTTTAAGACTTGTGGACTTCAACTCCCAGAATTCAACTATGCTGGCTGGAGAATTCTGGGAGTTGAAGTC